TGTAGTAATATGTGGGGGAGGGGCCTTGCTGTGTTGTTTTATCTTTAGGATCTAAACCCAGTTTGTCGCTTTCACAGGTATCTCATTAGATCGACTTTAAACACCCCAAAAAATATTGGAATTAAATATTGAAAAATGACTTTCTGGTTTGTTTCAGGTGGAAATCCTGCTGTCAGGAAACCGTGGATAATTGAGCGTCACAAAAGTTTCTAGAACGAAGCAGCGCCTTAATTTGCTAAGGATGCATTTAATTATAGCTGCAGCCCCCCTGTGAGCACAGTTCTTATGTAGTTACTGGGAAAAGACAGAGCTCTATGAAGAGGCTTTGTGACCGGCTGTGAATGTTCTTGAGCCAAACAAGACAAGGCTGTGTGAGATGCTCCTTCCCAAGCGGCACCGTTGGCTAATTAGCTAAAGGGCTGGTTTGTCTTACACAGCTTTTTAGATCTGAAAGCAGCCTGGGTGGGATTTTCTTTCCTACTGTTAAACATGCAGGCTTTTACAAAACAAATACAGTTATATAAGCTTTAGAATAAACTAATGCAGAAGTTACTTTTTAGCAACATGTCATGTCTTGTTGGCATCTGTATACAAGGTTTTAAAATGAATATACATCAACAGTACAGCTTAAGTTCTCTGCTTTCATGTTTATTCATATTTTGAAGACTTTTGATGCTGAACAGTAAAATTTGAAGCATCAGTTAGATGATCTCACATAAGAAACTCTTTGCATTTTGCATATTATCCAACAGAAAATTGTGTCAGACGAAGTCGTGGCATTTAGCGCTCATTGAGAGTCAATGGGGAAAAGTCACACCGGACACGATTTTTCTACAAGGGGGCTTGCACTGAGATAGACCCCAGGTCTATTTTAGTCTGAATATGCAGCAATTTAGCAGCTTTTTCATTGGTCTGAAAGGAAGAGAGACGCTGTTACAAAGTAAGACACATCCACTTTGGGTGAAAATACAGAATAAAATCTGTTAATCGCATAGGGATAGAGTGAATTTTGGAGCCGCACATAACGTATTAAGCAAGCGGGACAGACTAATGCAAAAACAATAAATGAGACATTTTAAAAAAATTATTTAATCATGACAGGAATTCAGGAGGACAAAAAACGGATAAAGTAGTGATCCCCACAAAAACTACAAGGGACAGAAAGCGGGGTTTACTAATCTTAAAAAAAAAAAAAAAAAAACTTCATGAGGAGAAAAAACAGATAAAGTGAAATAGGGATCCTCCTTGAGCCCCAAAAAAACAAAAAAATTAGAAACGGATAATGCAGGTAAGCAAAGCTTTCCCCTCTTTATGAAAAAAAAAAGAAAAAAGACTTCGACAAACTCCACAGGAATCACCTCTCCCTGTCTCAGTCAGCATATAAACCTTCCCACAGCATTTATTAGTGCATTTTTATTTTCCTAAATGTAGTCTCCATTATGTTTTTAATATAGGCCTCTTAAAATTCTCTATCTGCTCCGGTTTAAGATACTACACAGACTCAGTAAATGGGGCTTTGCTTTATAGCTGCACCGGTGTTTTTTATACATTAATTTTAATAACGTTTCATAATCTGTCCAAGTCAAATGTGAGAAAGTGTTTTAATTTCTGTGGCACAGATAAATCGTTAACTGGATGCATAATAAGTAACTGTAAAAGGATTATTTTTAATATATTTCCACTTAAAAAAAGACATCAATATTCGCACATATAAAAAGGTTTAAATGAAAGACAAGCCCAATAACTCATATGAAAATTTTGCAAAAAAAGATCAAATACTTTTAGTCACCAACAAGCCCTTGACTGGATGTTTATTTTACTTATTTCTCTAGTAGTTTAGCCAAATTCGTAGGTTTTCTTGGAACAATATTTTATGTTAGATCATCCAAGCTGCTTATAATCTGTCCGCTTTCTCCTCTTAAAAGCCAGGTTTGATTTATGTTTAGGATAAAAGTCAGATCTTCCAGTTGTGTTGTTAGTGAGCTCTATTTTTTCCATTCATTTCACTCTCCTGGAGCTTTCTTCCTGTTAAACGGGAGGTATTTTTCTCTCCACTGTCACCGCATGCATGCTTGGTGTGAGGGATTGTTGCAGAATCAATGGCAAAATGCAAAGAAATTCCTGTCGCCAAATGCTCATCCAGGAGGAGAGAACCCTTTAAAGTCAAAGACTGGGTGCAATCATCTGGGTTTCAATCGACTGGATGATTCAATTTAACAGACTCTTTAAAGTGCATTGAGCTGACATCTGTTGTTAATTGGTGCAATAAAAATAAGCTGGGTTTGATTCATCCATATGGCATTATCCTCATCTTTTAGGGTGGCTGTACATTTCAATCAAGCTGGAAAATATATAAATTTTGAAGCAGGGCATCCTTTCATGGCCGACTCCCTCTTATTCCATGGACGGCAATTTAAAACTAGCTTCAGTGAGGAGGCGACCCTCATATTTCTGTTTGTGAGCATCATAATTGTGGAGAGCATTACAGGTGTGATGGGTTAAATCCATTCTAGCACATCAATAGCAACTTTAAAATAAACACCACTTTAAAATAAAGTAATACAGTAAAAAACATATAACTTTAGGGTTAAATAGAGACAATTTTGTAAAAATCTTATGTGCACTATTATTTAAAAATGTAAATATGTTTTGAGCACAACCATTTTCAAAAAAGTTCACACTAGTTTGTAACTCTTCTCTATCTTGTAAAACAACTTTTAAACTAGCAACCTCGGCTACTGCTGGTTAGGTTTTAAAGTTAGAAAAGAAAAATGCAAATTCATGGTGTTTCCATTTGGTTTGAAGCAAATTAAGAAGCACTGAAAAGCGTATCGCCATCCTGATCAGTCATGTGAGTAAAAGTTTGCTCTGTCAGAGCTGATATGAAAGAAAAGGTGTTTCCATCTCCTGTATTGCACACCAACCCTTTTTCACAGATTTAAGGGAGCTTATTTGAATTTTGCTGTTTCTATCAAGCTTTTCTGATGCAACACTTCAAAAAGCTGTTTGAAAAGCACCAGATTTAAAGCCTACCTCTACCTTTTCTATTTCTCGATTAATTTATCTCATGTTTCTTTTTTTTGGCCAGCTTTATTTTAAATGCACCATTTTTTCCAAGTATGGAAAGATGAGCAAAAAAGGGAAGTAGGACACAACTGAAATAGATTTGTTAGGTGTGCAAGGACAGAACAAAATAGAAAATGTCAGAACGTATTAAAAAAGGAGGCAGACAAAGTGAAAAGAATGAGCCTGTAACAGATGAGGAATTTCAACCGGATCAGATCAAAGAAGAAAGGTCAAAAAAGTCTCAGTCCTACATTTTATACAACTTCAGACAGTGAAAGAAACAGCAACTCTTTTGTTCAATTTGGACTCACTGGAGCCAAGTTATGGAGGTGATACAAGGTCTGAACAGGCTGCCTAGAGTTTCCTCATGAAAGAACGATGAATAACAGAAGATCCATGCAGCTGAATCCTAACTAATGATCTACTTAAGTTGCCATGAAAACTCTGAAAGCTGATCATTATGCTACAAATTAGTAAACTGGTTGGTCGGTTTTAAAAATTCAAGGATAACAAGGAATCGTGGTCAGATTCCTTAAACAGGTTTCAAATTTTCTCTGCTTTTTCCATTTAATTCTAGTTTGAATTAAATTAATTTAATTTAGTAAATCAAATAATTTGTCACCATAACAGAAAACAAGACATAAAGCATCAATAGGAAAATGACTGAAAAGGGACAGGCAGGAGCCTGTATCCATCCTACATGTCTAATGAAACCACCCCTCACTGTTCCTAGAATATAGGAAGAAAAAAGAAGACTTCAGGTGCAACCATCCATAAATCAACTTTAATATTATCTGCTAGAAACTATATCTACATTTACATTGTGAACATATGATTACCAAAACCATGGCGACACCTAAGAGTGGGTCATTCTTATGCATTTTGATTTGTTTATTCATCCAGTTACAATGATTCATCTTAATTTGCATTTGGTTGGTTAAAATAATTTCTCCTATTTGTAAGCACGCACATTTAGTTCATTGTTCTATTCTATTCACTAAATTATCATATTAGATGCATCATTATTAAATATTATTTGCCCTCACAAAGATGGCAGCCAGGGATTGATGCACCTGAACAAGAGCTACCTGGACTGCACCAGCAGCTTCAGGAGAGGGGGAATTTTTTATTCACTTTAATGCTTTTTCTATGTTCAACGTATGAATTGTGTTTGACGTTTAATGTGCTTTGATTTCCTTCTTTGTTGTATTTTAGTATAACAAACTTCACTGTATTGTGTTGTTCATTGTAGAACGCTGCATTGTTTTGTTCCCCTAATAGCTTTATAATAATATTATCAGTGTATGTATATATATTCTGGTGTGTCATTAATTCTTTGGATCAGTTGTGCAGTCAGTTAGTTTGTTCATCCTTTTTGTAGAATTGTGTTTCTTTAACCTCTTATCAGCTCAGCATTTGTGAAAATGTAACTTTTTTGGGTAAAATAAAAACAATTTTTTTTTCAAATCCCACCTTGTGACTCCTTGTGCTTTCTTACTCAGGTCCCCCACAATACTGTAATAACATGAATTGCATTGTCAGCACTGTATTGTGTATTATTACGTGTAGACGACAGCTTGCCTTTGATTCAGAGCAAACACAATGTTGATTATTATAGGGCCTTACCTACCTATAATTTTGCTAAATGAATATTCTCTATGATAGAGTTTAGAGAGAGGAGTTCTAGATAAAGCATATTTACAGATAATTTTTCCATCCTAAAAGCAAAAGGCATGTGTATTTTGTACATATTCATCTAAGTTACTACACCATTTCCCTCAGAAAATGGCCCGTTTAAATATCTGCATAACCATTTTATGATTAATAAATTACTAAATCAGTTGAATATTTTAATAATCAATAATGATGAATCAAAATACCTGTTTCAACCATATAGCAATTACACCTTTAAATATTATTTTCTGGAGACTCACCCAGAAGTTGTTCTGAAAAACAGCCATTGTGACTTAAAGGCGGTCGGCAACCTGTGAAAAGAAGAGGGAAAAAAGAAGGTGAGATTCAGCAAAGATTGACGTTTTCATTTCCTTCCAGTCTAACATTAATTTTTTCAGCTACCTGAAGAAATAAACAAGACAAATTATTTTTCAATTTCTTTATTATTCTGAAAAAGGTTTATTTATAGTCTCTGTAAATTTACAACCTGCAATAACAATTTACCGGCAGTATTGAACAAAAATGAGCTCTGTGAAATGCTTCTCTTCATAACAACTCCTGAGACGCTATTAGTGTAGGCAGGGAGCCCCAGAGACAGAGGAGAGGACTTTAACAAAGGACTTAAAAGAAGTAAGTCAAAGGATGGAGGGTGCTAATTTAGGTGGGGAGTTACTTTAGTGAAGGCGATAAGAAGAGAGGAAAAGGCAAACTGGGCTGTTCATAAATACAAAGCAGATAATATATTATAAATATATATACAGTTTAAGGTAGGAGGGGCTCCTTTCACTACAACTCTGCAACACCTTCAGCGCAACACACACCAATCTGATACGGCCCACACCTTTTTAATTAACTCAGCAGAGGGACTGGAGGCTCTCCAGAACCTCTTCCAGATGACATAAAAAATATGGACAAACCAGGACTATAGAGAAATATGGAACCAAAAGAGATTGCCAAAATAAGGTTATATCCATCCATTATTTCTGAGCTAGACATGATGCAATCGAATCCAAACCTTGTCAATAAATATACTGTGTATCAGAGACTAGGAACTTATGTTTATGTTATCCTTCAGTACAACCTGGTTTTTCCATCCATCTTTTTTAACAGCTCCTTTCGCAGTCATGTCTGTTGTGAGTTGAAAGAATGTTTAAATTGTACACAGACAAAATGTGGGTTCTGATTGTTTTATTCTTCCCCAACAGAACACCAACTCAAAAAGCCTTGCGTAGAAGTGGCTGTGCATGCATCCCTGTGCAGGGACCCATATTTATACTTGGTTGCAGACTTTCAGTCCTTGAACACCATGGACCTTGTTTTCTGTTGCTTAAGGAATCACATGTTGGTGCATTGGTCTGAAATAACTAGAAAATGTGCAGCATTACTTCATTAGCAAAGTGACCACATGTCAACATTTACATCACAGCACTAAACTAAAGGCCAAGAAACCTACAAGGAAACAGGCCAAAGAAATTGTCCCTATTCTGACAGTGTCAAGTTTTAATAAACAAGCTACAGCGGAGCTTATAAAGAATATGTTTTAGTAAATCAAGTGAACAAAAGTAAGCAGCAAGTCGAGAGGATTTCTAACTTCAGAGCTAATTCTGAAAATTTGTTAAGGACCAGAGCTACTTTCATTTTTTTCACAATAGGAAACGATAAAGGAAGACGGAAAAAATATTGTTTAAAAACCTTTAATTGATTTTAGGAACTAAATAAATGGAAACTAGTTTAATACATATTCTGCATGTTCAATAAATCATAAAACTTATGATGAGATGCTTTTTTTTTTTTTTTTTGGGGTTCTTTTTTTGGTCGAATCAATCCCACATTAAAATCTAAGATTTTTTAAATTTGGATTGAATTACCTTAAGTTTTACTAATGCAAATATCAAGTAGATATAGATATAGCAGAAGTATACTGGTCTTAACACTGATCACAACCGCAAAAAAAACCCAATAAATAAATAAAAACTAAACCCGCTGATTATGTTAAGTACCATTCTAATTCTATTTTTCTATTCTCATACGCATAAAAATGAGGTTCTTGCTTTGAACTTCTTTTGCATTAAATGTACTAGTTTAAGCAAAAAAAAAAAAAAAAAAAAATCAGGCTTTTACTGTAAGATAATAAAATAAAGTCTGGAAATTTTATCTTTTTTCCATTCTCTCTTTTCTTTGATCAGCATATACACTGTACTGTATATAAAATGAAAAACTTTAATTTTAGGGAAATTTGCAAATGCAAAGCAAAAAAAACAAAAAGAAATTGCAGCTTTCATCTAAATCTCCTGATCGCATTTCTCTACTAGCCTATGCCCCTGATCAACCGTTATTGTTGTGTATGACAGGTCAAAGAGTCGGACAGAGGGTGAAAGAGGACACCGTAGCAGCAGTTAAACACACCGTTTCAGCTGAGGAGTATAATCTTTAACAGGCACAGAGACCAAGGAGCAAACCAGCCTTATGGACAAAGACAAACAGACCTCCTCCTCTGCCTCACTATGTGTCTGACAACACACAGATGGTAGCCAAGAAAAATTGGGACTCTAAAAAAGCAGATGGAAGGGAGTGAAAGAAAGTCTCACACTAACGACCACTACCCACAAACCATGCATTTCCAACAGAAAACAAACTATACATCTACTTCACTGACCCAAAGCTCTGTTGTCTTACCTTCCTTTTCTTAGGCTAGCTGGCAGATGTTCTATGTGGGAATGGTGACCAGTATAATCCTGCCCCCTCCTAACAACCTACACCTGCTTTCCTGTTCTAAGTGGGTGACAGAAAATAAAAGAGGTCGTAGTGGATTTTTACCCTATTTTTCTCCTCTCATCGGTGCTCAATACAGCAGATAAACCAAGCAAGCTAAAAATGGAACCAGGCTAAATGTAGTGACACAGCAAAGGGTGGAATAAACCTTCGAACGGCACATTTGTCACAAGCACAGGTTGTGCAGTTGAGAGGAGAAACTGAATGGAAAAGAAGAGGAGAAATAAAGGAAGCACTGAGGCAATAAGGATAGAAGAAATAAGCCAAAAAGCACTGTAATTAACTCGACAGGGAAAACTCAATACATTTCAAAAATCACTAAAAAGTAATTTAATTTCAGCCATTCAGTTCAGAGAGCAGGTCTCCTTTATTATAGATTACATTCACTACAGACCAAATGGTATATTTCAAATTTTTACTTCTGCAGAACCTGATCTTTATGGCTTAGAGAAAAGTCAAACCTAGAACTTAAATTGCATATAAACACTAACAGGATTTATCTATACAATAACTATGCCATCATGGTTATAGACCGCTCATTTTCTAGATTTGTAGCAGATAAGTCACTAATAACCTCCACAAGTAAGGAAAGCATCCAATGGTCACCATCAGGAAAAATAATCCGTAGGGATGTATATTTAAATTACAAGGTCATTAACCACTTACACCCTAAGGGGGTATAAATAAATTTCTGCCTGACAAAAACACACAAAAGTAAATAACTTATAGCCTCACAGCTATTAGATTTAAGAAGAAACTTTTGGTGCGTCTGTAAAGGTAAGATGTCATAGAATGGTTTTCTGGTGTCAGCACCATTGTAGCTTTGACCCTGCCTGAAATATTAGGGACAAAATACAAAATATTTTGCATTTTTTGAACCTCGCCAAAATTTTCTTTGAAATAAACATTGCAAAACACTACCAAAATATTATCTAAAAGCACAAAAAAGTAGTACAGACTTTTAAATCTAAATGTTGTGTAAAAATATACCAAATTTGGACTCAATCAGATGAATCATATTTATTTTAGAATGGTATTAGTGAGAAATTTCTTAGGCGGAGAGGCCATTTTGGCACATTTATCCATAAATGTCACCAAACTGTGCCAAATGTGTTTTTTACATCAATACTGGGGGTTTGTTAAAATTACGAGGTCACGTAGCAGCTGGACCCACCGGTGGGTCCGTAGGGTTCTAGGGGTTAACGGTTTATTAGACTTAAATTTGTTAAATCAGATTAATTTATAAGGGCCGCTTAGAAGGAATTTTTTCCACTAGAGCCATTATTCATTTCTAAGTAGAGTCTCCCTAAAGTAATGACAGAGCAGAAACCTGAATAGATCCAGAGTCCAGACCAGGATTATTTACACCGTTTAATGGCAACAATGATGCACAATGGACTTTATATGGTTCTGTTTGTAAATATAAAAGCTAAAACTCTTTAAATGATCACCCAAATAGCAGACATTTAGTAGCGCTGCACAGCGGAGCAGCATCAATTTCTCTACTGACATGATAGAAAACGACAACCCCGCAATAAGCAGATTCAATGAGGAAGCTTTGGCTTTTATGCATTAATAGATTTTATCTTACAAAATTGCCTCCTTGTTAATTAAGCCCACTCCTTGGTCTTTCAATCTTTTATATATGATAAGGGCGATGTTCATATCTCCCCTCAATTTGCAAATTGTCAGACTGAACCACCTGCAACAGTGGTAAGCAATGCACTGGCAAAGCAACACTGCATTTCATTGGCTAAAAAAACAACACTGATCATCAGTCAGTTCGGCTCAACAGACCGGCCGTTTGGGAATTCTTCTGAATCTGGTCACTTCACCCCTGCTTTCAAAGCTGGCTCTCTGTCTGCTGACAGGGTGGCAGCTCATGTCTTCACCTGCCCACAAGCTCTCCCTCGAAAAAGAGATTTTAACTCAAGGGACTTCCTAGTAAAATAAAGGTAAAATAAAAATAAATAAAGCTCTCATGGCGAGTCAATGACAGAGTCTGAAGGGTTTACATTTTCATAGGGCTTTTCTGGCATTTATTCGGAAATAAATTTGGAGATAAATGTGTTCAAAAAAGGTTTCTGTAGCTATTAGACCAACAGTCAGTGTATTGGCCTAATTTCAGTGGAATTCTAACCACTTTCAGTGTAACCAGTGTTTGTGCTGAAATAAGCTGGACAGAGCGAGGGAGCCCAAATGTCAGTCAAAGTCTTGCTACTCTCATTTTAACCTGAAAAGCTCACACAGAAAGAAAAGACAATTGGAAGAATTTTATTGACAATTCCTTTTTTTGGCATTCAGACCTCGACAGGAACCATTAGCATTGAATTTTACTTTGTTATGCATGAACAGGAGTACAGAACAGGGATATTTCCCCCCAGGCCTGAAACTGATGGTGGAGTAGAGATAGATGCCTTTGGTCAGTCCATTACTGCTGTATGGAGAGATCCAGAGGACTGCATGAGCTGATACTAATGCTTTACTAGGGGACTTGAAGATGGAAGATGGAAACTATCCATGATAAGTAAGATTGAAG